AAGCTGTGGGAATGAATTATTACCATCCCTCACAAAATTCAGAGAGCTGAGCTCAAAAACTGGCAACACTTCATAAACATTATTTCTAGTCTGTGACATGATAGTGAAGAAAAAGTACTTTACCATGGTCGACAGTTTCTTACTGTTCTAAAAACAGTGAAATCATCCAGAAGCACTGTACCACACCCGGATGGCTGGCCTATCTCTCCACTCTCTCTTTAAATATGATTATCAAAGGATCAATTTGTCATCCATCTGGTCTTAGCATAGTCGTAAGACTCCAGTACCAGTGTCTGGATACGAGGGGGATCTTTCAAGCTGCTTCTCAGAGCCAACATCCTTCAAATAAAAAAAGTCCAAGCGCCACAGATCCTCTGTCAAAACTTATTTTCATATCTGTAGTAATAAATATTCCTTTCTCAATTAACTTGTCTCTACTGATTGAAATAATGTTATAGATAGTAAGAAGACCAGTTTTTTTTATACTGACAAAGTATTTACTGCAGAGAATTTATGTGAACCATTTTATAAGGTATATGATTACAATTTTATTATTTAACATTTATTTATTTTACATACATTAAGGATTGTATACGATCTCATAACAAAAAATTAGGTGTCAAGCGGGGTCAAAAAGCCAGCTAGCTTATCCAAGCAACCCCACCTTTCTCCAAGAATAAAACAGCAAAACTATTAAGGAATTCATGACACAGTTTCAAATTAACACATTCAAAACACAACAGAGTGAGAAAAATAAAAAGGTCATCTATCAAATAAAAATATCTGTCAAAATCAGCAAACTCAAACTTTAAGGACAAAGTGAAAAGTAATCAAAATGCTGTCTCATAAGTTAAGAGTGTTAAAACCACATTTGGTTGTTGTGAATATCAGGAATAAAAGTCACAGAAATTCTTACTTTTTGTTTTATGATTCATACAATGGGTTTTTCCTGAACCTTTATATTCTGGTATAGTTAGAGTTATAATGAATTATTAAACCCAGAGTTCAAAAGAAACTGTTTGTCCTTTTGTATTAATAATACTAGTATAATAATAATTATAATACTTTATAAACCCTAACCTTAATCAGGTGTGATGCTCACTGCTTATAAAACTTCATAAATGTTGTTATATAAGCTCTTATGAATGCTTATAATCTTTCAATAGGCTTATTGTAGATGATTTAGAAAAGGTGGGTTTATATTTAGTGTTATTCAAAAATTTGTAAAAAAAAAACAAAAAACAAAAAAAACAACATATATATATATATATATATATATATGTATATTTATATTATATATATATATATATATATATATATATATATATATATATATATATATAAATATACATATATATATATACATATATGATAATTTATATGACAAAAAATGACAGCAATAATCAGTAAACATGATTAATTATCATCTCATTGTCAATTTTAAAATTGCTACTAACTTATGTTTGCTATTTCATGGTGGTTATTAAGAAATGTGACCTTCAAATCAAGCTGTCATTTGCTGAGGGTCCTTCTCACTAATTACCCTTGTTTAGGTCCATTTTTTCAGTTCCATGACCACCAAGGCAGTAAACCCAAATTAGTCTCTGAACATGTGCCAGTTCAGCCACTAATGTGTTCTCCCCCATAGAGTGAGATGAGGGTCTAATTCAGTGAAGTGTTTTCCTGCAGAAAGCCTTTTCTCTTGGGTTTTTAGACATGAATTTCAAAGTGCCCTCTTCTGCTGAATGTGTGCGCCACTATTACAGTTCTTAATCAAAGATGAAGCACATCAAACCTTTATTCCAGTTCAGGGAACAACAAATAAAACCAGTTGATCAGTCCAACTTTTTTTCAATGATTTACTAAAATGACAGACTATTTGCTAGAGTGTGAAATTATTAAAAGGAGTCAACAATGTGTAAAAATGTCCAAATAATATGTTCATTGACCTTTGAGCCTAAACAACTTCCCCGTTAAAGAGCCATTCCAAACCTCAGCCTCAATCTTGTGTAATATGCACTGAAACTTCGCTCAGGGAATGGGCTGACAAGTTTGACCTTTAAGGCTTCATTAATCCAGTCACGCTTTTGAATTCCTGTGCGGTTTTCATCCAAAGCTGTGGAAAAATGTGAGGTAAATCTTGTTTGTTTGGGACATAACAAAGGTCAAGCGTGATGTACTTATCCAGAGCTGCGGAGTCGACTAACAGCAATAGCAACACTGGAAGAAAGAAGGTGGGAGATGTGGAGAGATGTGTGAACTCTGAAAAAAGAACATGTGAATCACTGTGTGAAAGTGACAAACACACACACAGCCCTCACCCACTCCCTTGTATGCTATCACCTACAATATACACATCAAGAAGAGCCAAGAATCTGCTAACACACATACACAGATGCAAATAACTATGTATATGCAGTATTTATCATACTGGGTCATGGCTGGAATTCTGCAGACAGTAATTCCCTGAAGAAATTGTTTACTATAACAAGTCACCTGCAACCTGAGATGTGGTTTTTCGCACACCACCTCAGGCCATTTATTCTTGGAACATTGCATAACGCAGCAGTGGGCTCTGCAACAACCGGCCTAAACGGACTCCTTAGAGGAAAACAGGAAGGTAAGAGGATTGAAGCAGCGAGAGAAACACAGCCATCAGTTGCTTCTACATACTGCTGCCCTCTCGGAGATTGTTTTTTCAAAGCCTGTAAGACCTGTGTGGCATACAAACACTGTTATCAGCACCATCATGGTATCCTGTAGAGCCTGCACGTATACGAAATACACAGTGTTGGGGTGAACTGAAATAGTATTCACAAGTTATGGAGGGGAAGGACTTCAACTGGTGTACTGATTTTGCAGTGATATGAATATGAATATAATTCATTTCTGCTTGCTTTAATTATCCCTAAAACAGCCTCACTCCAAACATGACCTGCTGGCACAAAACCAAGTTGTCAAACCCTGGTTTATATCTGATCGATGAGCTGATGAGATTGATGGCATTTTAGCGACCTGGTTAATGCGTGTGATGCTCATACGCTTCAGGGAGCTTCTGATGTTTTAAAATATAATTGTAAATCACTCTGGCATCAGCGTCAGAGAGCATCCGTGTGTGTCACAGAGAGGTCAAATAGTCAACATTATAAAACTGTGATTAGTTTTGACTCATTTATTTAACTTTGGATTAAAAACTGTCATTCTTCAAATACTTGTCTGATGAGGTACTGTTCAATAATCTGGACATTTGGCAGCTTTAATTTAATCAAATTGTTATTACAATCTTTTATTACTCTGTCCAGTGTGATAAAAACTGGGTACAATTATGGAAATTTAAAGGAACATTAAGGAGAAACATCTCCCTCACATAATAAAGCTGATGGTATTTTTTAATGAAATGACCCTTTGATCAGCTATCCATCAACTACATTGTTCCTTTATAACAGTAGAGTACTTGAATGGAGAATGAACTGAAATGATTAAGTGCTTTTCTAGTCAGTGGTCTACTTCAACAGCATTCATTCACTGTGGCATACAATAATGTGAAAGTGCCCATCAGTAGTGACAAATTCCATTCATACAGAATGAAGACAGAATAAAACATGGATAATATGAATATAGATATGTATTGAAAACACTGACTTTATCTACGTTTACAAGGCAAATGGATGGAGCTTAGTCTTTACCCTCCTGGCAAAGATGGCAAAGAGCTACGATGTACTCTTTCACACCTGTTGGTCAACAAAGTCCCAAACTGTGCAAAATTACACTTACCTCTTAAAGCCCTAACATCAATGACACAGTCACATTTGGGGGAGAAAAATAACCTCACCCTCTCCACACACACTGTTTTAAAACTAGAGAAATCAGCTTTGAATCCATAACCATAACAGTCTCAAGTCCATAACCATATTGAAGATCACCCTGAATCACTGCAGTCGTTTTCCAATATGGCTAATTGCTGCTTGGTTTATAAGCATTCCCACACTGCTGGTTATACCACTTAGGAGGTGCAAGTTGGAGTTCAGTGACTAATTAATTAATGCATCATATAGCGCTTTATCAGAGACCCTCAAAGCACTTTACATTGGATACATCATTCATTCGCTTACACAGTCACACTTTGGTGGTGGTAAACTACCTTAGTAGTCACAGCTGCCCTGGGGCAGACCGACGGAAACGTGGCTGCCATTTTGCGCCTACGGCCTCTCCGACCACCACCACACAACACTCACATTCATACACCAGTGGAGGACACACACTGGGAGCAAGGTGGGTTACGTGTCTTGCCCAAGGCCACAACGGACAGGCTAGGGATAGGGGGGAATCGAACCGCCAACCTTCCAGTTATTGAACGACCGCTCTACCTCCTGAGCTACTGCCGCCACAGGACACTTTGACGTGTTGTCTGCCAAACATTTTTGATTGAGAGGTGAACTGCTCAACTACTCATGTTGTGACTGCTAAGAGGTTACAGTGGGTTAAAACTGCAGATTATAATCACAGATTATATCAAGGATAATGTATTGTGAATGGGTGGTTCTGACAGAGTAAGCAAGCATTCGGGTCATTATAGTTTATCCCCTACTTGAGGCAAATGGGACAATTTAACATTAGAGCCATTTCGACTTTTCAAATTATCTTATTGCAATCTGATGATTGGGGCTCTATAGCTCTTCAGACTGCTTTCATATCTGTGCCCAGAAACTGTAATTATGTCTGGGCTTTGAACACCAGCCACAGATAGAGACAGATATTTCCGCCACATTGTTCTTAACTTTAGGGTGTCAATGCTGATTGCCACAGTCGGTAAGTATACGGCCGTAGTTCGATCGGGCGACTTGACTGGGCTTCTGTCCTTGTCCACGCTTACGTGCACTGGGCAGGAATCAAATTATTGACAGAGTCATGTCTGCCAACTGCAATAACCAGGTATGTTAGTCCAACAATAAGAGGTTCAATTCAGTGTGATTTCAGTTGGGCTAATGATGGAGAAAACTAATTACCATCTGGGGACCTCTGGGTCTGAAAGCTTGCGACATGTTTCATTTTTCTGGGAAACTATAGTTTTCATAAATAATCAGGGCCAACATGGAAAAAATATCTCTTTGTCTAATTGATTTTAAATTGATTTGTCTTTTTGATGTATTTCCTTGTATCTGTTAAGCACTTTGAATTGCCTTGTCTATGAATGGTGCTATATAAATAAACTTGCCTTGCCTAATGCATTTACATGATTTTTGAAAGTCTAATTTCAGTCGATGGCAATATATCGATCTACAATGCCAACAGAACTGATGATTTTGCCACAGTGTAAACGGGCAGATGTGTCAGACTCTCTGAAATTGATTTGATATGTGAGATCAGAATATAATACTGTTGTTGTTGCAGATTATTGAGCATTGTATTGGGGTTTTGACAAATCAGAATCAAGTATTTATCACAGCATGATAATTATTCAAGCTGTCAAATGGCTCAAGATCTGTCTGCTACAAAAGAAAAATTACTCATGAAGTGGCACTTGGTTGTTGTTGTGTCTTTATCATCCTGACTTGGTTAACACTCTGTAATAATAGAGTGTATTAGGTATGAAATCTACCACAGAATACATTATTTTTAGTGTCTGCATTTTTAGCCTTTTATTTCATAACCCTATTTATTGCCCCTCAGTATATTCATCAACATATTGCCTCATACTTCACTGCTTCACACTCCAAACTCATTTCGCCAAAAGCCAAGGCTATAATCCAAAGCTTTGTGAGATAGATTTGTGTGAAAACCTTTATCCACACAGTGGCAAGGGCCTCAGGAGGGCATGTATATATATTCATTCCTCCTTAGGTGTAAGGTCTGCATCACAACAGGAAGCTGGATCCAAAGTGACAGGAAACTGGGTATTGTTATTTTACTCTGAATAGAAAGTACAGAAAACCAGAAGGAAAAGGAGAGTTATATTTAGTTTTTTGTTTGTTTGTTTTTTTCAGATCATACCATAATTTTTCTGTCATAAGGTCAAAATGGTTTTAAAAATTCTATTTTTAAAAGGTACAGTATGGTAAAGTAATTTTTATCATTTGTTTTAGCATGTCTGAAATTACACTGTTTATTAATTTATTTTTTTTGTTTTTAATTTGCTTGTTCACATGCAGTCAGGTTCTTTCTGCTTCATTTTCCAGTCTTTTTGGGACTGGGACATCTTTCAAAATCCTAGTGTTGCAGATGTGTATTTTTTTTGTGTGATAATCATGAAATGTAGGAATGTGTGTGTTTAAGTGCAGAATCTCATTAAAACATCGGTGACATTGATTTCTCTTCCAGGAAATAGAGATTTAATAGAAAATATGTTATGTAATGGTAAATTCTATGCTTATCAAGTTGTGGAAGACAAGATCTGTTGTTTGTTTTTCCCGTCTGGAACAATGGTAGTCAAAATCCATTTCAGAAAGACTGAGACACTATTAAAACAGAATAACATTTTGGCACCTCTTTGGCTGGCTTTCGTGAAAACCGGTGAGCCAAAAATTCAGGACCGCTTGCATAGTTTTTGTTTTCTTCTCTTCTGTATTTGTAAAGGTTACAGGTGCAGAAGCATTGTATTTCCTTATAATTTGTATATGTGAGATACAACAGAGAGAATGTGTGTAATTGCATATACTCTTAAGTAACAAGACAAGCTCATTTGGAATGAAAAGAATTGCTCAGGGCATGATCAGGCTCCAGCGGCAGACTCAGACACTACAAACACTACAAACATATTTTTCTGTTTGTATAGAGCATGTTTGTGTTGCTGGAATATGGTGCTGAATGAGATTGTTGTTATTTTCAGTTGTTATGCAGCAGAGAGACCCTTGAGGAAAAGTCTAGAGACCACTGATGCATGGTGACAGTCACCCTTTAAACGATCTCCACTGTTTTTAATGCTCTCCATGGGAATGAGATCATGGCAGGCGAGGGAGCAAAAGAACGGAGAAGGAATCATGAGGCTCTTCGAATCCTCCTCCACATCCTCCTCCAAATCTACTTCAGTGTTTCGTCTCACTGCAGGATGTTCTTGCGGAGCCTCCAGACGACTCACTTTCAAGGATAAACACAGATGCAACACACATACACCAACATTAATGCTGGCATCCATCAAACAGCTTTAGTTGGACTGAAAATTCCCCAAACTGACAGGTTTCCAGCAGCTGCTATTTACTTTACAAATAGATTTTTTAAAATCCAAAATTAGTGAAGTGCATCTGTGGGCAGAGCTGCAGTCTGCTGCTCAGCTCTCTCTCTGTGACCCCTGACTGGCCGTGTGTGTGTGTATGTGTGTTTTTGTAGCCCTCCCAACTGGTAAATATCCTCTGGCAGCATACATGTTACATAACTAGACCTCCGAAGCAATTCAAGCCTCTCAGCAACAGGTATTATTACGGTCCCCTCTATGTGCCAGCGCACAACCGTTCCAGATAACAGTGCATGAATAATGGAACAGAGTGAGGCTGCACCAAAGTACATCCCAGCCTCAGAGTTGTCGACATGAGAAATGTAACACAAAACTCTTGAATCAGTGTTGCCCCAAAAGCCTTTTCACTTAGAACAACAGGACCTACTAATTGGTGTCCCTGCAAACCTGATAAAGTTCTGATAGAATATCCACTGGGCTCCTCTTTCAGCTATTCCCTGAAAATAGCTGTCACAGTAATTCCATTGTCATAAAAGCATTTGATTGTGTGATTTAAAACGACTATAGCGAAAGGTCAGTCTTTTCCTGCAGATGTAAGCCTATGGAAGGAGTTCCCAGTCACTACACACTGAATGTAATACTTGGAAAAGTAACAGAAAGAAAACAATCAAGTGAGAGTGTGTGAGATAAAACACAATTACCCCTTAGGCCTTGCTGAAAGAAAAACACTTCCCTTTTAGAGGAATTCTTAAACCCAACTAGATAATTCTCCACCTCCCCTCTCACTCTCTCTCTCGCTCTCCCTCCTTTTCTCTCTGTCACGCACACTTGCTGTCTCCCAGTTTTCTCTCCCTCTTCCTCTTCCTCTCTCTCCTTTAAGTTTAAGCTGGGCTGCTCCTCGGAATGATGTCACCCCACTCCTGTGCGGACATGCATTCCACCAGCAGCAAGCATCTCTTTCCAAAGCGCAAGAGCAGCTTTACGCACGGCGATATGCGAGCAGAAGGGCGACTGTTCTCATGGCGCACTGGATTGTAGAAAATGTGGTGATATTTTCGAGACTTTGTTCGCCCGTCGGGACAACCTGGACCACGCACGATGACCGCCTTGCCTTTGAAGGAGATACAGTTATACAGGTGCACTTTCTTATGTGGGCATGATTCTGGTGGTACTGATCTGGAGCGTTACGCACGACGTACCTCCACGCGTTAGCGAGAAGCAGCTCAGCGCACCGAGTCTCAGCTGTTTTGAAAAAAGAACTGGGTGCGACACAACCAACATGATACGAAAAGACAAACTGGTGTCGGAATGGATTTAACCCAGTTAAATCTGTCGGTGGAAAACATCTCCAACGATGATAACGCCACGGACGCACGGTTCGCCTTTCCACACACGGTTTCAGTCACTGCACTTATTATTGTGGTTGTGTCTGTGATCATTCTGGTGACTATTGTGGGTAACGTGTTGGTGATTGTAGCGGTGCTGACCAGTCGGGCTCTACGTCCGCCACAGAACCTTTTCCTCGTCTCTCTGGCATCAGCGGACATCCTGGTGGCCACGCTAGTTATCCCCTTTTCCCTCGCCAATGAGGTGATGGGATACTGGTACTTTGGGAGTACTTGGTGCGCCTTTTATCTGGCCTTGGATGTCCTGTTCTGCACCTCATCCATCGTGCACCTGTGCGCCATCAGCCTGGACCGTTACTGGTCCGTGACAAAGGCGGTCAGCTACAATCTGAAGCGGACACCAAAGCGCATCAAGTCCATGATCGCCATAGTGTGGATAATATCTGCTGTCATCTCGTTTCCCCCTCTCCTCATGACTAAACATGATGAGCGGGAGTGCCTGCTGAACGATGAGACTTGGTACATCCTCTCCTCCTGCTTGGTGTCCTTCTTCGCTCCAGGTCTTATTATGATTTTGGTTTACTGTAAGATCTATAAGGTGGCCAAACAGCGCTCCTCCACTGTGTTCGTGGCTAAAAACGGACTGGAGAGGCAGCCGTCTCAGTCGGAAACCTGCTTCGTCCGGAAACAGGACCGGTTCGAGATGGAGAGCCCGAGCAGCCAGAGCTCAGGCAGCAACCAGCCGAGGCAAGGGGAGCTGGATGACATTGACCTGGAGGAGAGCTGTTGTGCGTCGGACACCAAACCCCGCAATAATCGCTTCACAAAGCGGAGAAAGGTGGAGGGGTCAGACTGCTGCCCTCCTCAGAACTGCCGCCTCTCTTGGGCTTCAGCCCGGGCGTTACAGCTTTACCCGGAGCAGCAGAAGAACCAGGCTCGGAGACAACAGCTGGCTGCCGCAAACAAAACTAAAGTAGCACAGATGCGGGAGAAACGGTTCACTTTCGTGCTGGCGGTGGTGATGGGGGTGTTTGTGCTCTGCTGGTTCCCCTTTTTCTTCACTTACAGCCTCCGTGCGATCTGCAGAGACAGTTGTTACATCCCTGGCGCACTTTTTAACCTCTTCTTTTGGATCGGTTACTGTAACAGCTCTGTGAACCCCATAATATACACTATTTTTAACAGAGACTTCAGGAAAGCCTTCAAGAAAATTATTTGCAGGACTTCCAAACGCACATAAATACATTTAGGGCTCTCTGGACAAATGTCTGTTTGGCCTCATTTTCCCAGCAGTGCTGCCAGGGGAGAAATGATATTATTAGGACTTATGTCTTGGCTGACTGTTTTCCCTTACAAAGATAATGTTATTGTAACTACTGTCAAACTGAAAAAAAAACCCTTCAGTGTTATGTACAAATACATCCAGAGTCTATGAATAAAATGTAAAGTTGAGCCAAAAATAAGACAAATATTTTATTGTTGTAAGTGTTGCAGATATGGTTTGAAATGAAATTATTTGATGCATTTGTGCATCTGGAATATAATATATAGGTCAGTGTATAATTTGTCCTGCAAACTTCTCCCTCTGAACAAGAAATCCCTGGATTGGATCAATCTTTTATTCTGTCACAAGCAGGAAGAAAAAGCTCCTTCAGAGAAAATTGAATGTAGCTGGATTCCTGCTGCGGAGGCTGCTTCAAAGTGAGTGTTTTGTGGTGAAATATAAAGAAGATTGATCCCGTATCTATAAGATATGAGCTGAGGAATAAAGAAGCAGGTGTTGCCTGTGGGTGTGCGTCATATAGGAAACACTAAATTGAATTCTTGGAATGATTCAAAGATAGTTTTATCATAACGTGCAGAATACTGCATGGCTGAAATATTTGGCATTATCACAACTTATTATTTGTTTTTTCATGCTGCAGTGAAGCGCTCAGCCACTTCTTATCATTGAACCCCCAAACTTACATAAGAGTCTAATCTCACAGCCTGACCAAAAACATTACACCAGCTCTCAGCAGAACAATGACTGAACCAAGGCCAGCGTGTGCTAAATCTGCAGGATAAATCGGTGTATTTCATTTCAACACCTCAATAAATATTTAAACCTTGTGTGATTACAATTCTGCTACATAACTTGGTCTCAGAGTCATGGGACAGAGATCAGACTGGGGTTACACTGTCCAGGACACATAACCCTCATTGTGTTGAGAAAACCTCCCTTTCATGTGCCATTCTGTTGCAAATTAAATGTTGGAATAGTGAGCAAAAATCCAGTAGCTTTGACTTAACTGTGAAAACCCTGAGCATGCTAGAGAAGGATGCGCACATGTGCCACAAAAATAAAATAGTCCTGCCTCCTCGTTCTTAAAAATAACATCTCTGGACACAGTTATCACTGGTGGATCTGAACTTTCATCTAGTTTCAAATCCTCATGATTCATTGAAGGATCTTTGCAGAAGCCAAGCGTCAGGCTGTAATCCTCTGCTTTCTAAAGCTACATCATCTGTGAATATACAAGAAATTATGGTTTCAGCCTCTTTCTTATCTATAATGCATATACAGGAAGGAAATATTATGGCAAGATCTAAGTGATATATATATGTATGAACTGCACTTTTCCCATACATTATCAGACTGTGGTCAGTTCATGATGCATTTGGGATAAAAACTGTGTGTGAAATGTCAAAGATATGATGAAACATGTATGCAAAGCCTGGTGCTTTTCTGGGAAAACAGGGGTTAGGGAAAGGATGGCTAACCAGCTCTATATCAGCTTATTGTCTCCATGAGGGGTGCACTATTTATATCCTCTTAGGAATGTCTTCAAAGAGCTCCTACTGCTTACTGGCCCCTCACCAAAAATAACTGTCCCGACTGAAGGGTGTCATGCTGAAAAAGAATTTCAAAAAAGTTTGATGAATTGTGTTTCTGCCCGTCCTGATGAAAGAACGTTGTTAAAATATCATCAAGGGAAACAAGTGAAGGTGGATGCTTGCTCCCTTTTCTACCTCTTTCTTTCTTTCTTTCTTTCTTGACAGGCAGCATCATTTTATTCACGAATAAAATTAGACAGAAGTAGGGCTCATCCAAGGAAGAAAACTTTATCTCCAAGGGATTCTCAAACTCTTGAAACAAATGAAATGTCTGGGCCAAGATGTGCTCAGAAGAGACAGCAAAATGAGCTTTGCATCTTTGTTTTCATCTTGAAGACTTACTAGGGTGGAAGTGATGTTAATTGGGATTTGTATACTGTAATGGGATGTTGCTGCGTTACATGTAACTTAATTTCTCTTGAGAGCACAGCCATCACTCTTAATACTTGTTGCATTGTCAGATGAGGAAATATTTACATAAACACTCCTGTAATTTTCTTCCCCATAGTAAACTGATTAATATCCAACAAGACAAGCTAGTCCCATGTTAAATCTCACTTCCCAATTCAATTATCTTTTTAATCAACTGCTCCACATGCAGCCACAGTGGAGCGCAGTACTTTTAGTTTTCTGTAACACACCTCAGCTGTGTGATGTCTTTTGTTTCATGAGGCAGGTGGATTTGTCGACTGTAATGAGGTTTTGATTGGAACAACTGTATATTTTTTCAATCATTACATAAGGCAGCTATTCGGAGACCTTTTTTTTTAAACCATAAACTGAAGGCACAGTATCCCTGTGAGGGAAGTTAACCACACGTCACTGTTTCTTCTACAGATTGTAGACACACGTATCTATGAAATTTTGTTCATGAGTCTATATCAAGCTGAAGTTGTTTATTTTGCTCACATCAGTGAAGTTGAGAGTTGAAGAAACCTGGTCAGGGAACTTTTTTCCACATAGTCTTCGAAGTCCACAGACCTGCACCACACATGTGCAGGCGGCCCAGGTTAGAGTCCATCCTTTGGCTCCTGGACTGCATGACACATTTCTTTCCTGCTTCCTGCTCTGCTTCTGTCCTTTCCTCTGTCAATAAAAAGCCAGAAAAGCTCAAAAGTAAAACCGAGTCCTCGCATGTCACTATGAAGAATGTTTTATTAGATCTGCTTTAAACCAAAGAAATAGCCAGTGCAGGAGACATCCACTGAAACTGTAGTTATGTGTATGTCAGAGCTTTGAGATTACAACAAATTGCTGCTGTTCAGTGTTTTATTTGATGGCAGCATCAAATGAGAAAACTTTGATTTTTGTTTGGTGAAACTTTACATTTGATAACCTCAGTTTGGACTACGACACAAATGAATCAGATGTTGCTTCATCCTAACCAATGCTAAACTTTCTCCAAACATAATTCACTGTTAGCTATTTTTAGGGCCAGAACCAAACAATTTAAAAGTGTTGCTCCTGAAGTATTAGGATGGATGGATGGATGGATGGATGGATGGATGGATTGATGGAAGACTATGGCTGTATACATTGATTGGTAAAGAAATGATTCAAGGATGGATGGATGGAAGACAATGGATGTATACTTTTACCAATAAAGAAATGATGGATGGATGGATGGATGGATACGTAAATTTAGCACCAAATTGATGATAGATGGACAAACGGACAGACGGACGGATGAATGGATGGACGGGTAGGTAGGTAGATAGGTAGGTCTGTAGATAGATAGATAGATAGATAGATAGATAGATAGATAGATAGATAGATAGATAGATAGATAGATAGATAGATAGCAGACATGTTTCATCATTTTGACTTTAAGGATCCTAACAATCCCTTCCTGTCCGTGAGAGACATTAGAGATAAATGCTAAGCTAATGGTGTTTTTTAGGATAAATTTAGAGTTGTTTGTTCTCGATGATTCACAGTCCTCAGTCTGCACTCCCAGCCTGTTAGTGCCTTATTTATAACTGTCATCAAAGTTGGGAGATGAGTTCAGGAAGGGAAGCAAAGCTGCCGCGGCCCTCATCCTCCCAAATCCTCTTTTGAAAGCTTAATGAGAGCAACAGACCAACTGCAAGGAGTCAAAACATTTCCTGCTGAAATGTACAGGAAGAAAGTTTCATTCATGATCTTTTTAAAGAAGAGGAAGAGAAGAGGGTCAGAGCAGGCTGCCAGTTTTGCTCAAGATCAGAAGTGTAGGCAAGGTTATCAGCTGCAACAAAAGCTGAGGGAAATGTTGTTATGGATGTTTCAAAATGAGTGCAGCACAGGAAAATAAATATCCTCCTAGAGAGAACGAGAGAGGGACCATTTGCCTGTGGTCCTCTGCTGCATTATCTTGTTTGTCAGACACAATGTGGCATCTGCAGGTAATTGCTTTCTTCAACTGCGTCTAACAAGATAATGGTAAGACAAGCAAGGCCAAAACTCGCGTCAATCCTCGGAAGCCAAGACGAGGAGCCACTTGTCAGCAGTGTAAATCAGTGGATGTCACGTCAGAGCAACCTCGCCTACCGTGTCTTGGCCATCCTGATATATCCCCCTCTTTGGCATAGACAACCAGTGTATGAGTGAGAGTGTCAAACTGAATCAGAAACCTGCAGAAATCAGATCACAAGCCTCTGTGTTTGTGCGTCTGTTCTCAGCAAATACAGAAGTGTCTCCTACAAGCATATAGACCAAACAAATGGGAGCAGTGCTGCAGAAGTTACCATGGAGTGGATTATCTATAACAGCCTCAAAATTTCCAAGAGTAAGAGTAATGATTTTTATCCATGCTCTTATTTTGATACATTTTTTTGTCCTGCTTTAAGGTTGCTTCTAGTAGATTATAGATCCAGTACATCACAAGTTCAATAATTGAAAGAAAACTTAAAAAGTATGAATGTTCAGTTGTTTAGTTACCTGAAGAGGCAAAAATCTAATGTTGTTTTGGGGTTTACAATAAAGCATGAACATCAGTTTTAAAAGTGCCAGTACAATATCAGTTTTTAAATTCTTTAAAAGGTGTTTCATGTTAATACTGTTATATTGCAACAACCCTATGCAGTCATGTAACAGTCTCAAAAAGAAAATCATGTTCATAATGATTAGTAAACTGTTAAATATTTGTGATACTATTTTAACTTTATAATTCTAATAATTCTTCATTTAAAATCCAAATCCCCCAAACTTCTTTTTTAATAACCTCCTTTACTTTGCACTTTTCCCTCTTGTTGATACTGTGCAAACTTTTTAGAATTCAGGAGCAGGTATTAGCAGACTGACCTGGAAATGGACCACCTAATGAAGTTATGGAAGAATCGTATCTGGAACAAGCTGCTTGTGCGTCCTCTTGTCAGGTGAAGTCATGCTCTCTCACTGGACTGTCAGCTACTGGAATTCATGTCGAGGATTAGACATTTGTGTCACCATCATGGGAATTGTCATTCCCCTAAATTTACAGGGCCTTGTCAGATCCTCAGCAGTTTGATTTAAGACTGCAACTGAACTCTGCTGTGATTCAACTTTGCTGTAACACACAACACAATCAACTTCACAGCTTAGCAACCAAAAAGTTATTTGATAGTGTAAACTGTGTTGCTACCGGCCAGATGCTGAGAAATGTACTTAAACCTCTAATGCCACTACTTATTTGTGCAGCACCGTTACCACCCAACGCTGTTTTTGGACTGCTTTGTATGAGTAATGCCTTCCTTCCTTTGAAACAAACTATCAGACTGGAAAAAGTTTTCATCAGCGAACAAGTGTTTATGAAAAACTAAACATCAGTCATCATCAGTCATCAGTCTGATTATTTGGAGCGGCTGAGTTATGCATGGTGTTGAAACCAAAATCTTTGGTTTTGGCAAAGAAAAGACCAACTGTATTTAGACTTTTCATGTAAGAGTAAAGACTGTAGGGAGTAATTAATGATTTGCAATGTGTCAGGAAAAAAAAAAAAAAAAAACATGAATGTGTTTCATTGTTACCAGTCCTGAATTAGGCCTAAGAAGTGATAAAAGTGATGGCAGTTATTCAGAGAAGGATGTGACTAGATAATGAGTCTGTGTCTCAACTTGGGTATTATTTTCATTTCTCATACTGCCAAACTATTATGTCAAAAATGGACCAAACAAAAAGAATTTTTCATTTACTTTCTTTTGACTTAATATCTAATACATTTGCAGTTTCAGAGTGTGAAGAACTGAACCCTCAGGGAACATCTAATTCTTTCTGCGTACACTGTTTATTTGTCCAAGTTTTTGTTAGACATTGTATTCACCTCAACAAAATCTTTCCTGTTGCTTCAGTAGGCTTAGTCAGATTTAATCTTAATCTGTGCAGCCAATTCATGTTTTCTAGGAAAATACCATGTACTGTTTATCCTTCACCATCTCTAATGGACGCAGTTATTCTTAGTTCACTCAAGTGTTTACCTGTATATCTGTATCCAGGCACCTCACTCACAGGATACATTTTCCTGTTGGACCAAAGCCCATCTCTGTCCCTTTTTGTTGTTTACTCCTCTGATCCTTTGTAATATACTTACACCTCCTGCCCTCCTTCATATATTTGTCCATTTTACACATTATGGCTCAGCAGCTCCACCATTAAAAGAACACCTGTGACCTGTGATGATATAGAAACTCTGATACTGAAAAATAGAAAATGGAGAGTTCGTAGAAAGATTGTTTAGTGCTTGGGCAGAATAAATATAGTCATACACATTGGAATAATGTGGGCCCTTTTTTTCAAAAAAGTGATAAACATGATGATAAAAATCAATATTGTTGGTATGCTGCCAATTGTGCTAACAAATGTTTGGAAAAAAACAGGAATACTACAAAGAATTCCCCAAGAACTGATATTTTTTTTCTTTCTCTTGGAGGGATAATCTTTTTTTCATCAAACCCTTTCATCCAATCTGTGTTGCCCCAGTTTTTGCGAGTGGGAAGAGTGGGTGTAAACGCTGAGGGTGTAATTAAAGGGTCCTTATGCTCGTCTTTTCCTTGGGCCTCCAAGTGTTCCCAGAGGTACGAGTGAAGCAGGGACAGTACCACAACACAACATGAGATGCTTTGATTATGTAGATCAGGAGTTGAACTCATCATGAATCTTGGTTTTGGTCCAGGATTTCCCACCCAAGAGGACCCGGTTATGAAAGGAGACAAAGCCTTCTTGATACACTTCATGAAAAGAGTAGATTACGTTCCTCATCAACAGCCCTGTGTGAAACTTTGATATTAATGTAATAAAATTATGTAATCCTAAAACCCGTTAGGACACAGCTGGGATATTTAAATTAAAGAAATCTCTCCTATCACCAAGGCAACGGTGGCCATCCACAACCAAAAGCAATGTACCAAAGATGGCATCATCCACAACAGATGCAAGTAATTCAGCTGTTTCAAAGGATAAGGAGGTAATTTTTTATTATTATTTTATCCAGGTAACTATAGTTTATAGATTAGTTTTGGGATGATAATCATATTTTTCATTGTTACAAGTTTAGATTAGAATGAAAATGAAGATTTTTAAAGTAATTTTCTTGTGTTAAAGAAGTTGTAGTAAAGTTGCACAATGAGAATGGATGATCATACCAGGTTAATCCAAGATGGCCACTGGTGTGTTTTCTCTGTAAGAGTTCCTGCTCTCTATCCACTTAATATCTGCTGAATCTTTTGACTATTGTTTGTTAAATTTCATTGTTGAATGGCATAGAGTAAAATCAAGCAATATCCTCAATTTGGACTAAAAAGTCAGCTCTGAGTGTCGTTTGCTGACTTAGAATTGCATAGGTAGTAAAAGGCAGCTAGCTACCGGCCTAGCCAGAAGGAACCACTACCACCAGGCAGCAGCTAGCTACCAGGCCAGCCAGGGAGCATCCACCACCAGGCAGCAGCAGCTATCCAACAGGCCAGCCCCAGGAGGAGTCAACACTGCCAGGCAGCAGCAGCAGCTAGCTTCCAGGCCAGCCCCAGAAGGAGCTACCACCACCAGGCAGGAGGAGCCACTACCACCAGGCAGCAGCAGCAGCTAGCCAACAGGCCAGCCCCAGAGTAAGCCATAAGAAAATCAAGTTGTGGAACCATATTATTACAAAAATTGTTCAAAAAATTTGAAACACT